TCTTTTCTTAAATGTTATAGTTTGATGAGGAACAAATTGAAAAATATATCCCTGCATTATAGCAAGCACAGGTGGCATTAGCGGTCAGAGCACAAGCCTCTGACTACATGAGGTGTGACCGGCAGGTTTGAGTCCTGCCGGTCTTGGTCTCGTATGTGAGTAGGTGAGTAGGCGGGGAGGTATATATCTATATTAATTTTAGTCTTAATTTTGTACAGCGATTTAATATTTTGATCATTTTCATGGATTTAAAAATGTGCTATACAAGAAAATAAATAATAACATAAAAGTAGAGTTGCTTGTTGATTCTGTCCTGTGCTTCTAGGGTTTTTCACTGGGTTTTTTTCGATCTTCGGGCTTTCGATTGTCCCACTCTGTGATATACAAAGCAAAATTTCACCTTTAAATTTGGGAGTAATTTCRTCCTCGATGGTATTAAATATAAAGTAATTATATAATTGCTTTATTAGTTATATAATTATTTTATCAATGCCATGGAGGACAAATTACTCCCAAATTTTTGCTGTCGCCATGATGATGTAGTTACTTCTCTTTTAAAACAAGATGACATCCAGCTGGTTGAGACTCGGAATAGACCCCTTTCGAATTCCAAATTACCGCCGTGTTTCTTGATTACAGACTCATTTGCACAGGGTTAGCCTCGAGTTTGTGCAGAATATTCACGTGTTCCAGTCAAGGTCCGTCGAGTTTCAAAATGTTTGTATTGTTGAAGTTGTGCATTCTTTACTTTTACTTTGGTATTTGTTAATATTTTACGAGGCTAACCCCTGTGCAAATGAGTCTGTAATCAAGGAAGACAGCGGTAATTTGGAATTCGAAAAAGGTCTATATTAAGATGATTATTTCTATCACCAAAAAAATCAGCAGAGAATTTACCTAAATAGCAAAACCAGCATTTGTATTTCTAAAAAGAAAGAAAAATATGTCACCTCTGATCTGACGGAAAACACTAATATAATGTTGTGGCCATCTTGAAGTTGAAAGAAATATTTTTTTATATTCACCAATATTAGGCTCGAATTCTATCAATTTAAAAAAAATCAAGCTTTGACAGCCAGGAAGTTTCTGTGGTACTTTGTCCTTTTACTTATAACAATAATATTAAATGGTAATCAAATCAGATGATAACTTGTGAAATTAGGGACAAATTTATATTGTGTTTGTCAAAATCTGTGTACTAATTTCCCTTCCCTTCTTGCTGTGCTTGGTCTGTACATTCCGACCTCTGTCAAGATTATCCCGTACAGACCTCCTGCTCGGTTAATCTTATATAAGATCTATACTAAGTATAAATATGAGAAGGCCAGTGTGTATCAATATAGAAAGTGTCTTAGTAAAAAATAAAAGAAATCACAAATAATTGTAACTAAATTTCCATTCTGGGAGCGAGCCATATGCTAATGAATGAACTAATGAATTCCCAGAAACATTAAAAAATTCTTTTAAAAAATACCATCATAGCATATTAAATAAATAAGCTTGCTTCAGATGGTTCTGGACTTACTCTTTAATCTTCAACAATAATTAAGGTCGTCTRGCTGTGTCAAGTTCAAGTTTTCAAGTCTAATCAAAGATTTATCGACTGGTGTCAATCCTTCTTCTTCCCTTTCAGGATCTTTACCATTCTTTTTCTTACTGTTGGCATATTCTGAACTGGGTTGCTGAAGGTGTTGATGTTGAACCCCATTATTATTAGCACTTCCTGCTGACTCAGCTCTTGCCTTCTTCTTCTGTTGAACATAACAAAATTTCTTTGTTTCAGATATGACAAAAAATATTTATTAAGTGGATTTTTTAATTCATGCCCACAGCAAGGCAGAAACTATACAAAAACAATAATACRTGTATACTGTCTTTACAATTATTCACCAATATTCAATTCTCCAAGGCAGCACAAGGAAGCATAAGGTGAAATTTCAAGGTGAAATTTCACTGTTGCCATGCATGGGGATATGATTATAGAGTATTTCTGCCTAATATTTTTACTGCCAGTAAATTTATTTAGCTGCAAAATTACCTGCAAAATTAATAAAGGTACCTGCTGGTACATTAACTACACATTAGAGGGCCAGTTTGTATAAACAAAGCAAGGTCATATTGTAAAAAATAAAAGCAAGGAACAAAAATTGGTAATAAAAATGYTACTCTTTGCATGAGCCATATATGCATACTCATAAAGCTACTGTAAGAGTACTTATTCAGTAATCAAACTAATGAATTCCCATAAACATTTAAAATATTAATAAAGAATAAGAGTAAAAGAGCAGAAAATAAAGATTACCACCATGGCATCAGGTGGTTCTAGACTTACTTCTTCATCATATATATAATCAAGTGAGTTTGTTATCCCAACAATTTCTCCTTGCTGGGGTGTTATGCCAGCAGTTTCTTCATTCCTTTCAGGATCTTCTTGGGATCTGACGTTGCCATTGGCATTTTCTGACCTGGGGTGATGGAGTGTTATCCCAGCAGTTTCTTTATTCCTTTCAGGATCTTCATAGGATCTGACGTTGCCGTTGGCATTTTCTGACCTGGGGTGATGGGGTGTTATCCCAGCAGTTTCTTTATTCCTTTCAGGATCTTCATAGGATCTGACGTTGCCATTGGCACTTTCTGACCTGGGGTGATGGGGTATTATACCAGCAGGTTCTTCATTCCTTTCAGGATCTTCATAGAATCTGACGTTGCCGTTGGCATTTTCTGACCTGGATGGCTGAGGAATTTGCCGATATTGATTGTCATTATTACCAATTATTTTTGCTTTTCTTGCTTTCTTCTGCTGATCATAAAGAAGTTTCATTGTTTCAGATATAATGACAAATATTAAATACAAATTTTTTCATATCCATGCAGAATATAAAAACATTAATATGCTATTATAATAATACATATAATATATGTAATACACTGTTTTCTCAATGCCTGACAAGTGCACCAAAACGACCCCMGTCATTAGTTCACAAAAAAAGATATAAAATTACTTGAAATGCGTTTATAGAAAAAAGTATAGACTGAAATTGACCTTTTCTTTTGGCCAGAATTGAGCTAGCCCCCTTTATTTTAAATAAGCACCCTTCCTCAGTCTTGCAAGATGACTGGGTGACCTCGTTTTTGACCTCAAATATAGTTTCTTGCTCTTTAATTGGTGGAGCAACCAGTGATTCCGAGATGATAATCACTGCTCAAGCAGTGATTATGAGGTTTCCCAAAGCTTTTTCTCTGACATTCAAATCTAATATTATACTGAGATGAAAATTAGAGCCTATGTTTTGGTGTCGATCCGACACCATTATCACTTGATATGGTGAATATCTATCTCAATGCTTGAAGAATTGCAGCTCCATTAATATTTCACCAATTATCGCTTCACCTTCAGCAAATAATTGTTAACTAATTCATAAAATATGTCTGATTAAGCACTGGTACTAATGAAACTCTTAAATTTCATCATTATCCAATTCAAGATATCTAAATTTCAAGGTACCAAAATTAAACTAATTACAGGTTGATGTTATTAGATACATTCTAGTATAGCCTCCCCACAAAGAGAAATATAATTGCATATAATTATAATGATGTGATGTGACAACCATAAGAAAAATGAATGGATGAATGAATGAATGAATGAATGAATGAATGAAGGAAGGAAGGAAGGAAGGAAGGAAGGAAGGAAGGAAGGAAGGAAGGAAGAAACGAAGAAATACTTGTCATCACTAATCACCACCAATAAGTACAACAGTGGCGCAGCTCAATGGGTTTGAATTGAAAGCATGTGAAGGCTTCTCTGGCAGAGTCCATGTATGACCCTGAAGCATGTCTGCTCTAACCAGTTTGAATTAACTAGTTAAGTTGGATTTGAGAAGAGGAAGGAAAAACCGGAGGACCAGGAAAACCCCAGCTCACATGGGGCAACTGGGATTTTAACCCCGGACCTCAGAGTTGAGAGGCGAGTGTTTAACCACCACAACATCCTGATGTCTGTCAGAGCGATTACACGTTAAAATGTACTATCAGCAATTCCTTACCTTTTTATAACAGCAATAAACAATTAGAATGATAAACAGAGATAAGACAACACTCCCTATTATAGGACCAACTATTTGCCATGGGAATTTATTAACAGGTATGCTGGTACCTATAAAAAAACAATGTGGCAGAAAATTTCATTAAATTTGCAAACTAAAAGTTATGGTAATTGATTGATACAAATTGAAATAACTAATTGGAAATTAGATCTGGTTTCCAATGAGGACCTCACTAATGTGCTACTAACTGCAAGAAGAAACAAATAAAATATGATTGCAAAGAAGAAAAAAAATATAAGTCCACCTAAAGTACTGTTGGTAAATGGTTCATCTGTACTGTTATCAGGTGATATTCCATCTGTACTATTTACTCTCATGTCATTGTTTGGATAATTCTCAGCTGAGAAATAAAGTGGGAATTAAAAAAATGTAGTTAGAAAATATAATAATGTACTTGCTAAAATGAATTCATGATCAACATGTATGCATACTAATGTATTGAGCCATCTTCAAGTTACACCAGCCCAGGAAGCTGATGTGACAGTGACCACAGAGTATTATAATTATAATAATAATAATAATAATGATAATAATATTAATTAATATATAATAATATATAATAATAATAATAATATATAATAATAATAATAATAATAATGATAACAATAATGATAATATACTGTTATCAGGTGATGTGCCATCTGGATAACTCTCACCTAAGAAATAAAATGTGAATTAAAAAATGCAGATGGAAGTTATGAAGAAGATATGGGGAAAAAATGTACAATAAAACAGTATACAATACAGTAATATACAATAAAACGACTGCACTTTGAAGCTAATTGAGCAAAACATTTGATTGTCACATCTTCATCATAACTCCCGTACATTTCCTCATAAACTATACATAGGAACCTTGCTTGGACTGCCTGTAAATTGACATGTATCAAAACAACTGGTGTTCACCTGGACAAACAAAACCTTTACCTTTACTGTTAGGTGTGGTCTTCTCAGGTGGCAAAGGAACAAGATTAGCAGTCGAATTACTAGAAACTGATGTTGAATTGCCAGCTGCAATATTGCAATAGGATAACAGTGTAATTAATACACATGTATATAATCACAAAAATGAAAGATCAATTGATATTAATAAATTTGCAAACGAGTTATCTTTACCCAAGAAACAATAAAATGGCTTTTTTGAGTGATTTTGGCAATTCCTGCATGCTGTATGAAATTAAATTATAATACTAAACAGACCATGAAAAAACTGGGTTTTTTGTTTTATATAATATGTTCACAAAAATGGCAGTTCAAACTTTGTGTGCAGTTTTTAAAAGATTCTTGTAGAAGGCACGAATGTAAAAACTGGACCCAAATGTAATAAAGGTCACAAATGTAATAAACTTTGGTCACAAATGTAATAAACTTTGGTCACAAATGTAATAAACTTTGGTCACAAATGTAATAAACTTTGGTCACAAATG